TATTATGAATAGGAGTGGGCCTAATACACTTCCCTGGATTACACCACTACTTACTGGTTTAGGCCTTGACATTATCGAGCCAACTTTCGTTATCTGACTTCGGTCACAGAGAAATGATTTTATCCAGCTCAGGAGAGGGTCACATATCCCTAGTGAGCATAACCTGCTGACTAGCAGATTATGGGGGACTCTATCGAAGGCTTTTGTTATATCGAAATATAGCACAATTACTAGTTCTCTGTTGTCCCTGCTTCGTGTAACTTCATTGAAAAAGTCTATGTGACAGGTCACACATGATCTCTTTTTGAGGAATCCGTGTTGTGATGGGTTGATAAGTTCATGTTCTAGTAAGTTGTCTGACACTTGGTCTTTAACCACTTTCTCCATTATTCGTGATATTACCGGTGTTATATTAATAGGTCTATAGTTGCATGCACTGGTTTTGGCCCCTGCTTTGTGCTTAGGTAATATGTATGTGGTTTTCCACACTTCAGGATAAGTTCCAGTTTCCAGTGACAGAGTAAATATTCTAAGTAACAAGACTACCATTTCCGTGCTACCATTTTTGTATATGACAGATGGTATGTCGTCTGTTCCAGTACTGCCATTTGACTTCAATGTCTTAATCGCTGAGTCTATATTTTGTATATTAAAATCTATTTCTCCTAATTTGTGGTTACTTTTGCAGGTCATTTGGAAATTTGGGGTCGGGTGCACTCTGGTGTCATTGCAAAACCACTCACTGAGGAGTTCACTTATAACCTGGGGATCGTTGTATATTACACCCCTATGTTCCAAGATGCTTACATTATTGTCTTTACTGCTTTTTAGACGTTTTTGCAATATCCTACAAAGTTCCTGAGTTTTGGTGTTACCCATTAGCGCTTTATTTTCCTCATGTTGTGACTTCATTTTGTGTTTCTCTTCAAGCAGTTTAAGAGTTTCATGTATTTGGTTTAACGCATTAAATTCCTTAAATACATGGTATTTCCTTTCCAATTTCTTTAGTTTTAGTCGCGTTTTCCGGTCAATAAATGGAGTTGGTGTCTTTAGGGCAGATTTTAGGGGCGCGATTGTGTCTCTTGCTGAGCCAACTGTTTTGTAGAAAATCTCAAGTGATACTTCTAAGTTATTGTTGATGAAGTATTCTTCCCAGTCAGAACTTCTCAACAGATCTGATAGGAATTCCCAATCAGCATTCTTATAATCCCTATATTGATAGCGCACCGGGGAATTTTTAGGTGTGTATTTAGTTGTTAGTCGGAGGGGGAGCGTGCAGTACAATATGTTGTGATCACTGTTATCGAGTTTATTTCCCACCTCTATCGAGATGGGCTCTATGTTATGACAGAGGATTAAGTCAAGAGTATTTTGGTTCCTTGTAGGGAGGCGTACGCACTGCTTCCATCCTCCTATGTCTATAGCTTGTAGTAGCTCTTCATGGATTCTTGGTCCTGTACAGGTATCCCAGTTTACTCCAGGTAAGTTGAAATCTCCACATACTACTTTGTAGTCGAAGTCCAGCGTGGCTACATGCTCTAGTATTTCTGCAATAGTTATATCAGTCATTTCAGGGCTATTGGGGGGTCTGTATATACATCCCACGAGAATTTTACTTTCGTTTGTGTGGATGCTTATCCACTTAGATTCTGGGAGTTTGTCAGTATTTGGGTTATTGAAAGTATTGGAGTTAGTGGATTTATAGGCATATATTAAGCAACCGCCTCCTCTTTTGTCAACTCTATCGTTCCTATAGATGTCGTAGTTGTCTATTACCAGCTTTGTGTCAGGTATATCAGTAGTAAGCCAGGTTTCAGTCACCATTATTAGTGTTGGCCGTTCTATGTATGCCAGGCAGCGAAGCGTTGTTATTTTATTAAGGAGAGATCTAGCATTCAGGAGCATAATTGTTAGTAAACCAGAGTTATTGGGGGAGAGGTTAACATGGTTACTTGTCACTATCCCTACGTTATGTTTGGAGGGGCTCTGAGGTGAGACAGAGTCAGTGTGTGTACTATTTCCTGGATGAACTGTGCAGCGAGTGGGGCTATTGTTTGCTGCAGCCGAAAATAATCCTGTTGCATATTTTGACTATTAGCATCCATGGGTCGGCATCTGCGTTGATCTACTGGTGATATATGGTCTGCCCTGCAATTTGGGTTGTAGTTTGCTGGACCTAGGTACCCTGTGTTAAGATTACCCTGGTAGTTGTACCTCATGGGGCTTTCATAGCCATATGCATATTGGCTCACGTCACGTGCGTGAGTGAAGTTATTGAGGGGATCAAGTGTCGACCTGTTCTCATTATGTTGATGAGGTTTAACATATATAGTGCGAGAGTTTGGACGAGAATTTTCGTTAATATGGTGCCTATATGAGTCCCGTTTAGTGCCCCATATATCCTGAGGATCCATTCTACGTTGCATTCCCAAGTTATGTGCGTTGTTAGGCATGTTACTTCTAGTTCGGGAAGGGGTATTCCTTCTCACATGCTGCGTGACGTCTTTGGGAATGTGCTTCGTTACCCATGCTTTGTCATTTTTTAGACTGACACGCTGCTTATTAGACTTATTACGAGGGAGGTATGTCGAAGTCTGGGGTGGGACTCTGGGTTTTGTGGTCTTTTTTGCGGTTTCTACTGAGGGACTCTCTGGCTTGGATCCAGATTGAGTGTGGTCTGCCAGTAGTTTCTGGTCAGCCATAGTTTGTGCGTCTATGTCAACCTCATGTAGGTCAGCAGGTTTTCGAGATGTGCTCTCGTGCACTCTAAGACTGCACCCAGTGGCACTGCTCTTACTGAGTTTTGGGTCGCTCTTACTTGCCGTTTTTTCTCCTAACACTATACACGTGACTTGCTGTGCCTCAGTGTCCGTCGACACTTTAGCACTGATACCAGATGTATTTCTCAGTGTTGTCAACTTTGTGTCGAAGGAGTTCTTGGTTGCTTGCCTTTGGTTTGGTGTTTTATCCGAGACTACTTTAATAGTCTTGAATTTAGTGGCAGTAGCCAGAAGATCTTCGGCCATCTTAAATCGTTCAGCTGTTATGTAGCTGTCGAACCTAAAGAGTATAGGACAAGGATACTTTAGGTCTTTTTTGCTTAGGCGAATGCACTGACAAGGTGCATTCAATAGATTTGCAGCCTTCAGCAATGAGTGCTGGACTGACTTTATGGGCTCGCTATCCGGTACATTATATACTATTGCGTTTTGTTTTGAAGCCAGCCTTCTAACAACTTCGCTGGATAGAAAGTCGATGGCGTTTTCTAACTCCTTCGCATTTTCTGAGTCAGTATGAGTCATTCTAGAGGTCATATTAAAAAGCTTTAGGATTGTAGGATCCTGCATTTCTTTTTTCATACGTGAGATAGTTTCAGGTATACATTCTAGGGAACTTAATTTCGTTTTTAATTCATCTATCTGTAGCTGCATCTCTTTAATTACGCACGTTAAGTAAGAGAGCTCTACTTTTTCAGACAGAACAACTTCCACCTGTATTACAGGGGTCAGAGTGATGTTCGAGGCTTTCATGTTGGGTGAACTACTAATAATATGGGGTGGTAATGTGTTATTAGACGAGCCGGTGCTATTTTCTAAATTACTGGTGTTCACACGAACACACTTTTTAGAATTTTGAACCATCGTTATTAAAGATCAATTATTAGTAACCAATAATTGAATATAAGCGGAAACACGTGCAAGAGCGTCACCTGATTTGAACGTACCGGGCGTTATGTTGGTGTAACAATACAGAATCCTCAAGTCAACAATTGGTGTTTTGGTTTTTTCGTCCGTTAGTACTAAGCGTTTCTGAAAGGCTTCGAGGGACAGCGAGGGGCCCGGCATAGCAAGAGCTGGGCATTAACGGTTTTTGAGACGTGATTGACAGCTATTATTTTTAAGATTAGGATTCAAGGTAATTTTACGAAGCTGTTTTAGTTGAACGAAGGCCATCCTAATCTAAGACGTGGCTGACAAATGGGGTAGAGCTAACTGCAAGCTTGTGATCTTTTTAAGATTCTAAGTAACCACGAATACAGAGGCAGCAGTCGATGAAATCCAGCAAATCATGAGAACCGAATGTGGACGTAGCCTTGTATAATTAGGAACTAGCAAAAAATGGAGACTACTTGACACCAAATGGATGAACATTCATTCCGTATTCTCACATTCTACAAAACCGACCAACAAATGGAATATGATGACAGGTGTATACGGCTGAAATTAGAACATATGTGGTCAAGGAAAGTGAAGTGCAACTTATTTCTACTCTTCACAGTCATTAGAATCACTGTTATAGTAACTCATCCATAACGTGGGAAAATATTAAACCTTATCAGCTGCGAAATCACGATCACAGGAGAAACACTAAGACAAACTTCTTGACCATTAAGTATTGAATTCTTTGGAGCCAACTACCATCTGAAATTAGATGTGAAAACCCCAATGGGTTCAAACGGAGCCTAGGGAGACACAAAAACACGTCCACCCTAGCTCGTCTAAAAGACCACAACTGTTAATAGAACGGAAATCGAAAGCCAGTCCAGTCTGCAGTATATTCACATACGTATAACTCGACTCCTACTCACGCAGCGAAAGTTTGACCAGTTTACTGACCTCTATTCTCTACAATCTTTACTAAGTTGTATTGGTACAAGTAACTCTGAAAATAATTATATTAGCAACCACACCTTTTATTATTTTACATATGTATATACAGTTAATAACACAGTGCTATTTTAGTGACCAAATGGCTTTACTTAGTCAGCAACTAACTTTTCTCATATACTTTCCTAAAACGTTTAATTTTTATAATATTTCGCAGTATTTTTACCAAAACATAAGTTGATGAGTTACTTTGCAATGTCTAATGCGTACCGTATGAAAATCGGTCATGAAAATTTAGCATAACTAGCTCTGTCAACCGGCCGTTTTCTTCAGGATCATCATAAATAATTTTACCACTGATTGCTCCGCTATTATTAGTCATTTCACTCTTGGCGGTACGTTCGAAATTGGTGACATTTTTGCACGTGTTTGCTCTGAAATTTATTTACTGCTTATTGTCATATAATTCTTGAAATTATGGTCCAAATCTCTAAAAAACGTGTTCGTAGAAACACAATTGTTTTAGATAGTGGCTTAAATTCGGTTATAACTGCATTACCGCCTGGTAATACAGTATCAACTACTAGCTCTCAAAATGGTTTGAGTGCAGATCTCACTCCTGTGATACAGGTGAAAGATGTTCTGTTAGAGAACTCTGAGTTCTGTAAACTAAACCTCCTTTTGAAAGATATGCAGAGGCAAGTAAGTGAAATTCAGAAAAAATTAGATCAGTTTGATAGTATGTCACTGCCAATCTCAAATACCACGGAGAGCCGGTCTGATATTGGTCAGGTTAAGTGTTTACTGGATGTAACTCAAAATAAGCTTTTGAATTTAGACCCAATAGCCTGTCTTTTAGAAAGGCATCCTAAAATATCTCCAGACAACCTAAATAAAGCTGAAAATCTGATTGACTGCTTGGCTACGGAGGTGATGAAGCGTATAACCTCTTCTCACCAAGCTATAGTTTACAACGTCCCAGATTCTCTGCCCCTGAAAACTGTAAGACACAAAATCCTGATTTGTTGCGGCATGGCTAGTGTTCCATGTGAATGCAAACGACTTCGTAAAAAGTCTAACCAGGCTAATTGCCCAATCATTTTTAAATTCAGTAATTCCCTTGATGCTAGTAAGTTTACTAAATGTCAGGATCACTTAAGACTGAATAGCAGTTATAAGTCTATAACCGTAGCTCAGGATAAAACACCGTGTCAGCGCAGAATAATGCGTAGTAATAACCTGGTCACCTCCTCTAGCTTTGATTTACCAAATAAGGATCGTGCACAGCAACAGACACCTAGTGCTGAAACTAGCATTCAGCAAACTACACAACAACCACACCTGCCAATGGAACTAGGAACTGATTTAGATACCAGTACCCCTGTAAATAAAGCCTCATCGAAAGATGTTAAAATGACTAGAACTTCTGCAAGTTGTTCTAAGAAATTTCCCCCCAAACGTAGTAACCTCACCACGATGAACAAATTTCGCAGGGTTGAGACTAATGATGGGGAAGAATACTTTGTATTCAATAAGCCTGCTGAGAGTAAGAATGCCAACAAACCATCACTTGTTACGAAAAACTCCTCTCGAAACATAAGTACATCTGGAGGTGTTCCGCATGCTCCACCTTATAGAAAGTCAGGCTCCAAGACTCCTAAAGTCTTGCAGCCAAAGCACCTTCCTTCACAATTCCCTTTAAGTTATAAAAACAACCCGAAGGTGTATACCGGTATGACGAATAGCAGTTGGATGGGTAGACCTTCTGATGCTATGCCTTTTAACCGTCAACCTAGGCCCAACCTGTACTACCCTTATATCCAGGAACACATGGTAAATTTTCCAGGTGTCCCGAATCACTGGTACGACCCATGGCACCTAGGACCACCTCATTGCACACCAACTCCGATGTGCAGACACCCAGTCCGACCTCCTTTTCATTCATAAATTCTTGCGGTGCTGACGCACAAATAGATTTAGGTTATGGTGACATTTTAAGCCAGTTTGTAGTATCCCGTGACTTATTCACGATATTGCTAATTAATGCACGTTCCTTAATCAATAAGATATCTGAACTAAGGACATTATTATTAGTCGCCAAGCCTACTGTAGCTCTGATTACTGAATCATGGTGCTCATCCTCTGTACTTGATGTGCATATAGGTATCGATGATTACACTGTACACCGTGCAAACAGAGATTGCAAGCGTGGTGGAGGATGTCTCATATATATACATAACTCATTTGTAGTCAGTAAGGTGGAAGATGAAACAATGAATAATGTACCTGACTCACTCTGGGTTGTCTTACATGGAGATAAGTACAAACTTCTCATAGGCTGTGTTTATCGAGCACCAAGCTCAACAAAAGAAACTGATGCGTTATTAGCTAAATCGTTTGCACACGCATCCTCGTTTAGTGCTAATTACAAAATAATTGCAGGGGACTTCAATCTTCCAGAAGTCAATTGGCTAACTAGTTCCGGCCCCCAACGCTTCGACGAATTACTTGCCACTATAGACTGTTATGGATGGCAACAACACGTCCAGACACCTACTCGTGGTGACAACATGTTGGACCTTGTTTTTTGTCATGACACAATCCCAGTATCCACTATGTTGGTAATAGATTTTCCAGTAGTGACCATAGAATGGTACTCTGCTCTCTGCCTTTCTCACCACTAAATACAGGAAACAAACAAGACTCAGGAAGCACAATATGTCGTAGTTACAAATATACAGACTGGGGATTAGTCCAAGAACTTATTCGACTCTGTCAATGGGATGACTATTTTACCACTGACTCCCTGGAGGCCTTAGTAACCCTGTTTTACAGGAATGTTACCCTTTGTCTAGATACAGTTGCTCCAAAGAAAATAGTGAAATTAAGTAGACACCGAACTGAATATATTCCAAGGGCACACCGTAATAAGTTAAGGAAACTGAAGAAACAGTACTATTCCACTAAGGACATATCACTATTGCTCTCAATCCACGAGTCTCTTGAATCTCTCAAGCGCCTACGCTCTCAAAAGGACCTCGACGAAGAGTTAACGGCACTTGAAAGTACCTCCAAAGTTTATAACTTAACGGCACTTCTTAAAAAACGAATGCAGTCGGCGAGGGAAATCCCATACTTACTTCACGACAAAGTAATCTACAATGAACCTGCCACTATCTGTGAACTTTCAGTGATTGGTTTGCAAACTTTAGTTTAGAAACACATATGCCTGGTGAAACCGCTCCCCTTACTATCTCTTCCCTTGAAAGCATTGTGTTCACTAATCAGTTAATAGTACAAGCAATTAAAAGCCTTAAACCTTCCACTAGTACGGGACCGGATGGCCTCGCTTCGATAATTTTCAAAAACAGTGGGTGTGATATACCCTGTTACTTCTTAAATTCTTCTCAATATCTATGGACACTGGCACTTACCCTAGTGAGTGGAAAACTAGCTTCATAATTCCACATTACAAATCTGGTGATAGGGCAAACGTCCGCAATTACAGACCCATAAATATAACCCCAGTTATCTCACGAATCATGGAGAAAGTTGTAAAAGATCAATTGTCAGACTACCTAATTAGGGAAGATCTTGTTACAAGGTCTCAACACGGATTTCTCAAAAATAGATCCTGCGTTACTTGCCACTTCGACTTTTTCAACTGCATCACTAGTAGTCGCGAAGCACGTAAGCTAGTCGTTGTTCTCTACTTCGATATATCTAGGGCATTTGACATGGTATCTCACAGTATTCTCTTTGAGAAGCTGTACTCTTGTGGAATTCGCAACCCATTACTGAACTGGTTAAAATCATTTCTAAGCAACAGGGTACAAATAACCAAAGTTGGATCTGTATTGTCTCATCCTAGGCAGATCTCAAGTGGGGTCGTGCAAGGTAGTGTCCTAGGTCCACTTTTATTCACAATCTACATTAACAGCATTTGCAAGTGCTTCACCTTAGGCAAACCATTCCTATATGCTGACGACCTCAAAGTCGTCTACTCCTGCTACACTCATGAATTAAGCGATATGGTTACTAAAATACATCTTGAACTAAGTAGCCTCGCAACATGGTGTGCTGAATCCTGTCTAAATTTTAACATTGACAAATGCGGCTGGATTTGTATCGGCAACAGTAACCTTGATCTAACTCTTGAAATAAATGGGCGAAAACTAGCTAAGCTCAACTCAGTCGTAGATCTCGGTATTAGATACTCTAGTAACCTAACGTTCGCTGAACAGACTGATTATGCCAGACGTAAAACGCGAAGGCTGATAGGATGCATAACACGCAATTTCTTTTGTTGTGAAACTAGGGTTTTATTATACAAAGTATGTGTCCGACCTATCTTAGAATACTGCCCGTTTATTCTTAGCGGACTAAGACAAAATGACAAGCTTAAATTAGAGGGAGTGCAACGGCAGTTTACCTCAAGAACTCTTGGTTTAGAAAGTGGTCTGGAATACCATGAGCGATGCGAAAGACTAAGATTAGAACCCCTCTGGAAAAGACGCCTTAAGCTAAACCTTATCTTTTACTATAAGCTAACTAATCTTCTCTTGCATTCCTCCGAGCCAATAACTAAACCTACCGCTGTCATCAGTTACAATCTTAGAAATCATCACAACCTAGCTGCTATGGAGCACTGTCAGACTTACGTGCGGTACAACTTCTTCTTAAATAAGTTTTCAGTCATTTGGAATAGACTACCAGCTAATGTGCGCGATGCAAACACACTTCCAGTGTTCATCTCCTCAGTCACCAGACTGCTCAAAGATGACAATGCACTTTTGCGCCTGACTCTTACACCTTCTTTTTCACCCTACATAGATATTTTAAGTTCTTTAAACGTGTAGTTACAACAAACTACAATTATAAATTTTAATATTATTGGAACTAGATGATTAACATTTCTACACAGGACAGTAATAATATTAGTTTACACATAATATAAAAGTTAGCATAACGGGACTAGTTAGTTTGTGTACCAAAATAACCACAGTTACTAAACAGAATATATATGTATATATTTATTAATCACTCCTTAAGGACTCCCGTTGCTTTCTTTTGCGTTGCTGTTGTTTGTCTTCTTTTTTCTCTCACCATTTCAGCTTCCATTTGACTTTTTGAATGAGAATGAATAATGTGGATATTTGACCATTTACAATGACAAATGATCTGCAAACATTATTGGTCCCGTATCTTTCAGTTGCCTGGTTAATAACGAATTAACTTTCTCCACGACGCAACCTGGATTACATTTGTGGAATATACTCTTATACCAATGGAAAAGTATCTATTTGTAATACAACGTCACGATTGTAGCTTATAACATAACTGATCGTATCTGTAAAAATAGCTTCCTTATTACCCAATTTGGATATAAATCAAATCAAAAATAAGATTCGGATTTGTACACACCCAAGTTATATTGAGGAATTACTTCAAGCTTTATTTTTTCCCAAGTATTTTTAATCCATCCAAAACTTACTTGGGTTTTTTTGTTAATGCGAAGACAATATTCCTATATTTCATGACGTGCTCCATTGAATGACTGGTTATCATATTGTTCCCACAGACCTAAGACAAAAACGCCAGCAACCATGTAACTTAACCATGAACCAAATTTATGAAATTTATATAATGCTTATCCATGCCTGTATAATTGGTGTGTCCTACACAAGTAGGAAATAATGTATATTTTATTAAAACATTTGTCAATGGAGTTGAAGAGTGAACGATCAATTCACGGTTGTTTGCTCAAAATCAACTTCCCCAATATTCGCGGAGGCATCTATACGACAGTCATCGTCTCATCGGTCGCTGTTCAGAAAGAAGAGTGAAACATCGTCAGAAGTAATACAATGATTTATTATTGTAATATTTGTTTTCAGACCTTAGTTCACTCATTCTTTTTATATGTTGGTGTAACAATAAAGAAATTTCAAGCGGCAGATCGGTGTTTTGGTTTTTTTCGTCCGTTATAACTAAGCGTTTTTGAAATCTTCGAGGAACAGCGTGGGCCCGAGCGTAGCAAGAGCTGGGCATTAACGGTTTATGAGATGTGATTGACAACATTATTATTAATTATGTTTGCTAATCGTATGAGTAATTTTTCATATTGTTGATGCCTGGAAACTGGCGTCTCTCATGTACAAAATTAGAATATACTATTATTTTTATTATTCCTATATTTCATGACGTGCTCCATTGAATGACTGGTTATCATATTGTTCCCACAGACCTAAGATAAAAACGCCAGCAACCATGTAACTTAACCATGAACCAAATTTATGAAATTTATATAATGCTTATCCATGCCTGTATACTTGGTGTGTCCTACACAAGTAGGAAATAATGTATATTTTATTAAAACATTTGTCAATGGAGTTGAAGAGTGAACGATCAATTCACGGTTGTTTGCTCAAAATCAACTTCCCCAATTTTCGCGGAGGCATCTATACGACAGTCATCGTCTCATCGGTCGCTGTTCAGAAAGAAGAGTGAAACATCGTCAGAAGTAATACAATGATTTATTATTGTAATATTTGTTTTCAGACCTTAGTTCACTCATTCTTTTTATATGTTGGTGTAACAATAAAGAAATATCAAGCGGCAGGTCGGTGTTTTGGTTTTTCGTCCGTTATAACTAAGCGTTTTTGAAATCTTCGAGGAACAGCGTGGGCACGAGCGTAGCAAGAGCTGGGCATTAACGGTTTACGAGACGTGACTGACAGTTTCTGATGGTAGAAACAGATTCTGGCCGATTCAGATAGCTGGTAACAGTTTGGATAGTCAACGTTCATCTCTCCTGGTGCCGGTCAAGTCCTCTTTGAACAAGCAATATCTGGAATGTTTTTGGAATTGGGTCAAGTTCAACAATGCTTGGGTCAAAGAAGGGACAGAGTGTCTTGAATGCAAACAGGAAAGTAAGTCATGGTGACTTGTCTGTTACTTGAAACGATGCGTCTGATGTTAAGCATGACATGGTTGATGTTACTGTTTCGCCGTTCAGGGATAATGGGAACATCAAACTCCCTAAGTTTGAACCACGGTGTTTTGATGGAAACCCAGCTGATTATTTAAAATTTGTAAAGGAGTTTGAGATCATGTTGAGTAGTTTTCTATTAAGTGATGAATGGAAATTGATGTATTTGATGAGATATTGCACTGGAGATGCTTCAAGAGCTATACAGTGCTGTAAGTTTATGAAGCCAAAAGAGGGCTACTACGAGGCTATGAGCATATTACGTCAAAGGTTTGGAAGACCTTCGATGATTGCAGGGAAATTATTCGAGGCTGTCAAAGGTAATGGCAGTCAACTTCGAGATGACTCCAAGGCACTCACTGAGCTTTTAGATAATTTGCTAATTTACAAGAATGGAATGATTTCAATGAATGGCATGAGTGACCTCAACTCGAGTTTTATACTAGAAGTAATAGCAAGACGTCTACCTACTCGACTGCAAAGGAAGTGGGTGAAGATAAGCTCCCGTATGGAGGATGAGGGTATCGAGCCAAAATTTGATGATATCCTGAAACTAGTAAAAGATAGCGTCAATCAATCTATGAGCAAGTTCGCCAGTCTATTACATCTCACCCCTAGAATAGAGCAGTCTGAGGGAAAAACGCAATCATTGATGACGAATAAGCCTCAGAGAGGTGGATATCGAGAAGGCTCCATGATGTCTGGTAATGCATATAAACTTAGTGAGTGCAACAGGTTTCGTAGTACATCCTCAACAGATAAGTTACAAGATGCAAGACAAACACGGTTTTGTTTTACACGTGTGTGAGGGGTGGATAGAGAAGTGAACTGTGAACCGGTA